GTCATGGGACCTGGACCTCTAAAAGGAAAAGACCATCTCTTTGAAAGAAACCCAGTCCTTGAATTTTTCTATATGTTTTAGCAGCCCAGATCACTGGCCTCCACCCAGGGCAACTGGCCCCCCTAAATCACTTAATTAGCTTACTTGACAGTCCTTTTACCATAGCTCCTGGACCACCCCGGACTGCTTACCACTCCTTAATCCCATCCAGATCCTATCACTGTCCTTTTTTGCCTCAGTCTCACTCCCATTAAGTTGCAGATTCATTAGGAACTCTGCCCTCTTCTCTCAGGAAGGTTCGAGTGTATGAATTCATTGGAGGTGGAAGCCACCTGGTACCCTGACATTTTGGGGTTCTCAGCAACCCCAAACACCATCACCACCAACATGATCACCATCATTATTGTCACCACCATCATCACCACCATTATCGTCACCACCATCACTACCACCACATCCTTTGCTGGAGTTGGTCCCCAGGAATGGGAAGAGCAAGAACACACCTGCTTGTTTCTCCAGATGTGTTCATCTTTCATTGGAATTACAGATTTAGAGCTGGGGGAACCTTAAAGGTCATCTAATCAACCCCATCCCAATGTGATGAAGCGATTGGAGCCCAGAGAAGTTAAATGACTTGCCCACATTCACACTGGCAGTAAGCAGCAGGGCCTGAATTCAAACCCAGGTCCTTTGACTCAGAATCAGTTGTCAGACACTCATTTTAAACTTCTTCCTACCCCACCCCCAACACTGCCCTGCCTTTTACTCCTCAAAGACAGCTCACTGCACTGCTTGGGTAGTGAGTCAACGCTTGGTGGGGAAACCCACAGTAGGCAGGAAAAAAAAAAACAATAACCAGGAGTTATAGGTCTGAGGACTGAGTCAATAACTTGTCTACCTTCTGCATAAGATGTCATATAGGATGGTCGGCTGAACTTTTTTTTTTAACATTGTCAGGAGAGTGGGGGGTGTTGAGGGGAGAAGGCCAAGAAGCTTCTCTTGTGTGTTTATGATTTCACTTCCAGTCCCTCCTTCCTCAGACCCTCCAGCCCAGCCAGGAGGGGAAGCCAGGGCCAAGCTGCTGTCATTAAGATGAAACCCAGCCCACCCCATACAAACAGCTCCCTGGCCTGGTGGGGAGGCAGGTGGGCAGGAACCTTTTCTCTCCCGATCTGACCAGCTCAGAAACAAATCCAGGATATTTGATCCTCCCAGATTAAATCAGAACCACCCACCCTCCCTTGGAGCAACTTCCTATGGAAGGGAGTGAACTAATGAAACTGTCCCCCCTTCACCTGGCCCAGGAGAGTGGGGGAGTTGGGGGGGAGAATGGGAGGATGGGAATAGGTTTGAAGAGAAGTCCTCCTGCAGTTCTGTTACAAGCCACCCATGTCCCAACAGCAGAGAGTCTGGGTACCATGCAAAGAACATTGGATTTGAGTCGGAGGGACCTGGGTTCCTATCCTAGCTCTGCTGCTTAACTGGCTGTGTGATCTTGGGGAAGTCACCTTTCTTTTCTGGGCCTCGGTTAACTTATCTGTAAAAATGAGGGAGCTGGGGCCTGGAATGTGCCTTCAGTTCAAGTATTTGTTAAACTCGTGCAACGCCCTGCTCAGCCCAGCTCCTGGAAGCCAAGAAGGAAATTAATAGAGCTCTGTCATTTCTGATACAATCCTCCTTTTCTGTCCTGTTACCTGTATATTGAAATGACCAATACTTTATTAAATTCAGAATAAAATGATTTTTTTTAAAGAGAATTTTTCCTGAGGCCTTGCCCTCAAGTGGTTGGCTGATGTTCTGCCAACTCCAAATCCTCCCAGCAAGTTGACCAATAGGCACTAGATTTGGCAGCCGGAAGGAATGGGCCCCTCCCTCTAGGCTGAGGCCACTGTCAGGACAGGTGGCCCTGGTACCTTTGCCAGAGGAATGTCATGGGCTAGCTCTCTAGGACCACATTGTCCAAAAAATTCAGTCCCCTTTCTGAATGGAAGCGGATCCCCCTTGGAGGTTTACCGGCATGGCAGGAATGGGGACAGCCGAGAAGGAAAAGCACCTTCCAAGGGATACCAATGGCCGTGTGGGTGATCTTCCTGGCAGGGAGGAGTGTGCTGGCTGGTGCAGGCTTCTGAAGGGCTTTTGGGTGAAGTCTAGAGACTCGGAGTTAGGAGATGATCGGGGGTCAAGTCCTACCCTACTATACTTATCAGCTTATATGGATGTGGGCAAAGCCTATTTCCTCATCTGTAAAACAGGGATGCCAATACCATCAGGACCTGCCTCACAGTGTGGTTTTGAGGATTTAACAAAATCATGGTTATAAATGTGACCTATTGTTATTATTCCACAGTGAGGCCTTACTAAGCCCTCTCTAGGGCCCAGCAGAAGGGAATCTCATATTCTTAAGGAACTCAAGGCTTAACCAGGACTCAGATTTGCTGCATGCTGGAAAGCTGCCTCGAGGCCAGGCAAGGTACCTTAACTCTACAGTCCCTTTCACTGCTAAAAGATTTCTCCTTTCTCCAAAGCTTTCTTCCAAATCACCAGCAGTATCAGTGGCATTCCATCCCACCCACCTTGTGAATTTTTCTATTTATTTCCAGAGACAATGCTAATAATCTTTTTCCTCCCTAAGAAGGAAGAGGCTTTGAGGGCAGGGATTCACATCTTATGCTATTCCCCTTCAAGGGACCTAACACACATGTAATCAATAATAGCAAACGTTTGTATGATGCCTACTATGTGGCAGGGCCCTGTGCTAAGCACTTCATAAACAGTATCTCATTTGACCTTGGTTTTCATCCTAATTTCTGGTGACTGCAGCTGGATTTCAGCAGCAGGTGGAAAATAGGATCTGAAAAATTAATAGGATTTCAGGTCTGAAGTGGGACTCATCCAGTCCAACTGAGTCAACTAATCTTATTTGACAGCTGAAGCAACTAGCCCGTCAAAGGGGAAGTGACTTGTCCAAGGTCAGCTGAGTCAAGATTCAAACCCAAGTCCTGTGATCCAAATGCAGCATTTTTTCCTCTATTCTACATTTCTCCTAGTTCCCTCCAAAGACCGGAGTGCTTTATTCCAATGAATCCAGCTTTTCCGTTACATGTGGCCCACACAATTCCACCCATGTAGAAGGGGCAGGGAAAATACAAAAGGTTGAAGAAGCCCAGAGCAAATGCAGGTCTATCTCTTTCCTAGAGTCAGAAATACCCACCCACTGTACACATGGGGAATCCACCAAAGCAGCGTTTCTCAACGTGGGTTCTGCCACCAGCTAGCCTCTGCAGGTGACAAGGAAGTCTTCCCAGGCTTCCTTTCAAATGTCAGTTCTCAACAGCCCCTGGCTGAAGGGCCAAACAGAGACTAGCCAGTGCTCTTTAGACCCTCCTCTGCAAGCAGGTTCCAGAATACACAAAGAGCGCCACTTTTCAAACTTGAAGAAGGACATCCCAGGGTGGCTTATCAGAGCGCAAGGCCCAGAAACTCTCCAAGAACACAAGCACTATGGGGAAGGCCCCCAGATGGCTCCCACTTTGAATCCAAAGCCCATACTGAGACAGAGTTTCCCAGGCCTTCTCTGTTTGTCCCAGACTGGACTGGTATATCCACATTTCTATCAGATAAGAGGCTGTCATGGCCTTCCTAGCCTGGGCCTCCAGGCTGTGCTCACCCAGAAAAGTCCCTGGGGCTTGGGAGGGTTGTCAGGAAACACCAGGGAGAATTTCCAGGGAGAAACCTATGGGGACCAAGCTAAGCTTACCAGAGCAGGCAAAGGGGGAAAAAAAAAAAGAGGTGATCTGGGGAGTAGATACTGCCCAGGCACCAATGTCTGGATCTTTGGTGTTCCTTGGCTACCCAGAGTGGAGAGCTGGGTAGGACATATTTATAAAGAATCATTGCCAAGAAGATGAATAAATAAGTTGGGGTTTCTGAGTTGTAAACTTAATATGCCTCAGGCAAAGGGAGAAGGCTAAGAAGAATGTGCTTTACTCAGGTTTACTCAGCCGAAAAAGAAAGTGAAGCTGAGATAGTTAAGTAGCCCAGTGGATAGAGTGCTGGGCCTGGAGTCAAGAAGACCAGATTCAAACTCTACCTCTAACACTTACTAGATGTGTGACCCTGCTCAAGTCACTTGACCTCTGCTTGCCTCAGTTTCCTCATCTGTAAAATGGAGATAATAAGAGCACCTACCTCCCAGAGTTAAGGTGAGGATCAAGTGGGAATAATATTTGTAAAGTGCCTGCCTGGGGGAGGTCCAAGGTCATGCCAGCTGGCTAATGACTAGAACTCATATTTCTCAGGTCAAGGCATCATAGAATTTAAGAGCTGAAAGGGACCTACATACCAAAGGAATCCCAAAGATAATATACCTAACAGAAGTATGTAGTGCTGCCAGAAGCCCTCAGTGTATTATCTAAATCTATATTCATACACAAACACATACATATATTTGTATAACTGGCACCTGAAACTCAGAAAGAGTCCTTAAGAGATCTAGCACCCCCCCCCCCCGCCTTATTTTCCAGATGAGAGAACAAAGGCGAAGATACTACACAGGTAGAACCTACATTTGACTCCAAATCTTTCTTTCCATCAAAACTGGTCCTGGGTCTAGGGTCCAAAGAGACCCTAAGACATTATCTAGTCCAACTCCCTTATTTTTCTACAGATTCGGAAACTAAGACCCAGAGAGGTTCAATGATCTGCCCAGGGTCACATGGGTAAGGACAGAGTCAGCATTTGAACTCAGGTCCTGTGACTCCAGAGCCACCGTTTTTGGTTTGGTTTCTCCCATTCCACCAGAATGACTCTCAATTTGACAGTAAAAACCCTTCACAAGGAAGTCTATTAAGCCTTGGAAGTTTTGTTTGTTTTGGTGAAATAGGGAGGGTATGAGGCAGAGCATATCGAGACACTGGGGATCCGGGGTCTTCTACAGGGGGAGACGAGAGAGGGAAATTGCACATGGAATAAGGGGGAATGCTCAAGACAAGGGAACTCACGGGGCCAGGAGAGCTCATCACACTCACTGTCACAGCCGGCGCAGCGTCTAGAGGCAGGTGGGGGAGGGAAACTGAGGCTAGGAAAGCCACGAGTTCCACTACGGGTCCCTGCCTCCGCCCCCGGAAGGAGGAAAGAAGGGGAAGGGTCTCTGGAGGACTGGCAGCTCCAGGGTCCCCAGTCCCGGACAGCTGCAACCCTTGGCACAGCGCCCATGAGCCCGGGCTCCTCCGGGAAGTTGGCCGCTAGTGGTCGAGCCAACTTTCCGTCCTCCTTGCTTGGCTCCCTGCTTCGGCGCGACCCCTGCCTCCCCGGCGCCCTCAGTCCGTGCCAACGCAGCAGTCTCCCAGCTGGGAGCGGGGCTCCAGAGCTGGCAACTGCGTAGATAGCCCGCCGCTTACCTGTAGGCTTGGCTCTGACTGCTGCTGCTGCTGCTGCTGCTGCTGCTGCTGCTGCTGCTGGCTGTGCGCCCTGGTCCCTGCGCTCTGAGCCCGGTCCGGTCCGCTCCCGTCTGCCACCGTCCTGGCCCGCGCCTGCCCTGCTTGCGTCTGCCCAGCTCGGCTCTGCTCGCCTCTGCCTGGCTCTGCCGTGCCCAGCGCTGCGATCACCCAAGGCCCCCTCCTGCGGCGGTCCGGGGAAGAAGCAGCGTCCGCTGTCCAGCCCCTTCCAACTGCCGCAGCCACGCCACGCCCCCTTCGGCTGCGGGGAGGAAGAGAGAGGCCCAACCTCTTAATCTAGGTCCCGAGTGGAGGGAGTGAGGCATAGAGAGCTGGCAAAGTCGTAGAAGACCGCCCCATTTCTGGGGGTGGGATGGGGTGGATTTGTCATGCTGGCCTTGGGGTCAGAAAAACCCCGGGTTCCACAATTACTACTCTGACTCTATCTGCCTGATGACGAGCAAGTAAATCACTTTGGTCTCCTTGAGCCTCAGTTTCCTCATCTGTAAACTGGGGATAATAATACCTGCATTACCTCCCTCAAAGGATGCTTGTGAGGTTCATATTACATATGCAGAGCATGTTGTAAGGGTGGAGTTGGTTAAATAAGTCAGTCACCTCGCCTCATCACCTTAAAGTAGAGATGAAGATGCCTGACACCTTAATGAGGTGAGAACAAGACTCAGTCAACCAATCAGAGACTTTATAATGATTAAGTGTGAAAACTCCTTGGGTGAGCGGGGATTGCTTGAGGGAACTTTAAGCCAGACCTGTGGGTCCTCTCTAAAATAGAATACCAGTTCAGGACCCACGTTATTGGAGCATTCAGGGATTTGGAGTCCAGGTGACCACAGCTTGGGTAGATTCGGGGGACTTCTGATCTTCCCACTGGGTCCTGGTATCATCCCTGGAACAACTGACCACAGAGTCTGAATGGCGGCTGTCAGTCATAGTCAATCAACAAACTTCTATTAAATGCTTTTAATGTGCCAGGTGCTGCAAAGTGCTGGAGTTATTAAAGAAAGGCAAAACCACGGTCTCTGGTGCCCTAGAGGAGCGCACATTCTGACAGAGGAGGCAACATGCAAACCATGTACACACAAGATAAACATATGCACGTATGCGTGTGGAGGTATGTAACGCAAATGTGGTTGTCTTCAAGGAAAGGAACGCATGGTTGGGGGAGGGGGAGAGTAGGTTGCTTTGAGCTGAGACTTGAAAGAAGTCAGAGAAGCCAGGGGGCTGAGGTGCTGGTGGGTGGATTCCAAATATGGGGGACAGCCAGTGGAAGTTCAAACCCAGGGCATGACTAAGTTTCCTCAGCCAAGACAATTCATCTGAGGATTTTTCAAAAGTCAAGACCTATATCCACCAAGCCTGGTTGTCTCTCAAATGTCATTAATTCTTATTCCTTCTCCTCCTCCTTTTCCACTGCATTTAGTGTATGTAGGCTCTGGGGTCACCTCCCAAATCTCCATATTCATTGGCAGGTAAGGTCTCTAGATGGTTACATCTTCCCTCAGGATTCTAAAGTTATCCCTAAGAGGCTGAGGGTGAAAGGAGGGATGTCTTTCTAATGCTTTAGCTCATGAGCTCCCACCAGCGTGCTTCTCCCTGTGATTATCAGTTGATATCAGTTAGTCAGCCTGACTTAGCCTTTAGAAATGGGTATTTACTATTGGGGCATAGGTGGTACAAAACATCTCCCCCTAAATCTGTGACACATTCTCTTGCTAGTACGTACAGAGTCTAGGGAAAAGTGGGCTCCAGCTGAGAGGGAACACACGGCAGAAGGCTTACAGAGCTTCTGGAAATCCTTTTCCTAGAATCCTCAAGATATTGCTCTTAGGTATGGTATAGCTTTTCTCCTGGGCTCTTTGCAAAACCTCAAACCTGCTTTTCCTTGTTATCAGCTCCCAGTGTAGACACTACTGACCACAAGGCACTTCTGTCCTTAGGATATCAGTGAAAATGTCCAACCAAGTTGGGGAGAGAGAGCCTAGGGGCTGCAGTTGTCATTCTTCTCCCTCAATAAGCTATTCCTCATCAGGACATTTGGCTGGAATGTTCTCTTGGCTTCTGAGTTCTGAATTAGTGCCTAGTTTTATATAAGCCTCATCTAGAACACAACCATTTGGGACAGACTTCCTCTTACTCCAGTTTATCCAGTGGCAACCCAGGACTTCTCACACTTAGTGCAAACTTTCAATTGACTGAGTTATGTTTTTACCTGGCAAAGCCTCCTCCAATCATTTAATTTAATTGATGGGCAGAATCAATGACCTCCACCTTTACATGTGTATCAGTGCCTGGTACTCTGTAGGTGCTTAATAAATGATTGTGGATTAATTCAGGGCTGGCCTTAGAAAGTTACCTGAAGACACGGCTCCTATCTGCCTTGCACATAGTGGTGGAGTTCATTGGACTGCACTTCTCAGGAATTCCTTTGTTAGACAATAGGCCAGGCTGCTGTTTGGTATGTAAAGAGAGTTTATCTGAAGGGACCTTCCCGGCCACATGATATTGTGATAGAACAAGGGACCCAAGGCCCAGAGACTTTGAATGTCACTTCAGCAGTTATACAGCCAGGGGCAAGCCTAGAACCCAGGGCTCGGAATTCTTTTCTTCCCTTAAGGCTCTCCAAGTAAGTGCCACCTGCTTTGAAAAAACCTTCCTGACTCCTCCAGATGAAAATGTTCTTTATCCAACCTGTCGCACTCTACATGTCTGTGATTGTATGATATCCACCTCCAGCATCTCAATAAATGTTTCATAGAAGTGTGTGGAGTATTCAGGAAGGGCTAGCACCTTTTCAGGCTGCTCATCCACCTTTGGTGTCCACCAATCACTCAACCCTCCTCCGTGGCTCCAAAAAGCTGTAGCACACTCATTGGCCATACCCTATAAAACCATCTCAGAAGATGGGCTAAACCAGGTTAAGGAGAACCTGCAGTCCTGAAACCCATTGGTGAGTTAGAGGGTGTCTACCCCAAGCATGTGAAGATGTCACCTGGCTGAATGGGCAGATGAGAATAATTTGTTCCAACAGCTGTTGTCCTGACTTTGTCTTGTCACTGGACTTCGATGACTCCAGAAGGGAGTGAGGCTGATGGCTTTTCACTACTCTGCCTCACTTAAATCCAATTCATGCACAAATCAAGATGTCACCTGTGGTATCACTGGTCCTCTTCAGAACTGAAGGAAAAACAACAGATGTCTAATAAATCAAACTGAACTGAATTGAAATGAAAGAACAATGACTCTGGAGTCAGAAGATCTGAGCTCCCAATGCCATTTTCCTACTCACTAACTCTGTGACCTTGGCAAAATCATTTCCCTTCTCTGAGCCCTCTCAATTTCTTCTCTGTCAGACAAGGGGCCAGAAGATCCTCTTACCATGTGGTCTGTGGTCTCTAAGGCTTCCTTCTTACTCTAGGACCCAGGACTTTCCCAGATCTGGAAGGCAGGGCTTTAGAAATCAGGCTCTATGCCTGGAAGATAGTAGGTGTTTAAATGGAGATTGGTGGAATTGGATAGAAATCTTCTCCAGCAGAGAGAGGCCTCCATACATTCCTCACTTCCCACTCCTTTCCATTCTGCCCACACCAGGGGTGGAGGTGTTTGTTATGTGACCCATCGGCTGGCTAGGCCTCCAGCTTCTGTCCAACACCATCCTACTCCTAAGGAAAAGGGCATTCGTTCCCCCAGTTAGTTGTGAGCTAGTAACTCATAGTTAGACACAGTGGATAAAGCTCTGGATCTGAAGTTAGAGAGACCTGAGCTCAGATCCAGCCTCAGATACTTACTAATTGTGTGGCACTGGGCAAACCACTTAAATGTTGCCTGCCTCAGTTTCTTCATTTGTAACATGGGGATAATAAGAATACCCACCTCCCTGGGTTTTTTTTTTTTTGCCCCCTGGCTCCTGAGTGCTCACCATTTTATTGCTGCTTCTATTTTTTTTAAATATAAATTTATTTATTTTTAGTTTTCAACATTCACTTCCACAAGTTTTTGAGTTCCAAATTTCTCCCCCTCCCCCCATCCCAAGATGGCATGCATTCTGAATACCCCTTCCCCTAGTCTGCCTTCTCTTCTGTCTCTCCCCCCTCCCTTCTCTTATCCCCTTCCCCTTCTATTTTCCTGTAGAGCAGGATAGACTTCTGTACCCCATTTCCTGTATTTCTTATTTCCCAGTTGCACGTGAAAACATTTTTTTAAAAACATGTGTTTTTAAAACTTTGAGTTCCAAATTTTCTCCCTTCCTCCCTCCCCACCCACCCTCATTGAAAAGGCAAGCAACTCAATATAGGTTGTACATGTGCAGTTATGCGAAACACTTCCTTAGTAGACATGTTGTGAAAAACAAACTCGATTTCCCTTAATTCTATCCTGCCCTCCCATTTATTCTGTTCTTTATTTTGACCCTGTCCCTCCTCAGAAGTATTTACTTCTGATTACACCCTTTCCCAATCTGCCCTCCTCTCTATCATCCCTCTGTTCTCTTGTCCCCTTCTCCCCCTATTTTCCTGTAGGGTAAGACAGATTTCCATACCCAATTGAATGTGTATGTTATTCTCTCCTTAAGCCAAATCCTATGAGAATAAGATTCCCTCATTCCCTCTCACCTTCCCCTGTTTCCCCTCCACTGTGAGAGACTTTTCTTTTCTGTTTTTTTTGTGAGATAATTTACCCCATTCTACCTCTCCCTTTCTTCTCTGAGTATCATCCTCTCTCATCCCTTAATTTTATTCTCCAGATATGACCCCTTAATCTTCAACTCACCCTGTGCCCTCTATCTATCTATATACATACATACAATTTTTTTCCTTCAACTACCCTAATACTGACAAAGTTCTCATGAGTTACAAATATCATCTTTCCATGCAGGAATGTAAACAGTTCAATCTTAATAAGTCTCTTATGATTTCTCTTTCCTGTTTACCTCTTCATGTTCCACTGGAGTCCTGTATTTGAAAGTCAAATTTTCTTCAGCTCTGGTCTTTTCATCAGAATGCTTGAAAGTCCTCTATTTCACTGAATGACCATTTTTTCCCCTGAAGGATTATACTCAGTTTTGCTGGGTAGGTGATTCTTGGTTGTAATCCTATCTCCTTTGCCCTCTGGAATATTATATTCCATGCCCTGCGGTCCTTTAATGTAGAAGCTGCTAAATCTTGTGTTATCCTGATTGTGTTTCCACAGTACTTGAATTGTTTCCTTCTGGCAGCTTGTAATATTTTCTCCTTGACCTGGGAACTCTGGAATTTGGCTACAATATTCCTAGGAGTTTTCCTTTGGGGATCTCTTTCAGGAGGAGATCGTGGATTCTTTCAATTTCTATTTTGCCCTCTGGTTCTACTATATCAGGGCAGCTTTCCTTCATAATTTCTTGAAAGATGATGTCTAGGCTCTTTTTTGATCATGGCTTTCAGAGAGTCCAATAATTTTTAAATTCTCTCTCCTGGATCTATTTTCCAGGTCAGTTGTTTTTCCAATGAGATATTTCACATTGTTTTCTAATTTTTCATTCTTTTGGATTTGTTTTACAGTGTCTTGATTTCTCATAAAGTCACTAGCTTCCAATTGCTCCATTCTAATTTTTAAGGAAGTATTTTCTTCAGTAATCTTTTGGACTTCCTTTTCCATTTGGCCAATTTTTCTTTTTAGGGCATTTTCCTCATTGGCTTTTTGGACCTCTTTTGCCATTTGGGTTAGGCTGTTTTTTAAGGTGTTATTTTCTTCAGTATTTTTTTGGGTCTCCTTTAGCAAGCTGTTGACTTGTTTTTCATGATTTTCTTGCATCACTCTCATTTCTCTTCCCAGTTTTTCCTCTACTTCCCTTACTTACTTCTCAAAATCCCTTTTGAGCTCTTCCAAGGCCTGGGACTGATTCATATTTTTCTTGGAGGCTTTGGATGTAGGAGCTTTGACTTTGTTGTCTTCTTCTGGTTGTATATTTTGATCTTCTTTTTCACCAAAGTAAGATAATATAGTCTGACTCTTTTTGAGCTGCTTGCTCATGATCCCAGCCAATTACTTGAGATTTAAACTCTTTGTTAAGGTAAGAGTCTGCTTCCAATGTGGAGAGTGTACTATCCCAAACTTCAGGGGTTTGTACAGCTGTTTTCA